CAGAACTTTCTTTCAAAGAACTCCACAGTTTTGACCACATCCACCTTGCACAAAATCATACAGTGTTCTGGAGTGCATTGGTATTCATATCACAGCCGAGTCAGTTCTCCCCTGAGGCATTCCAGTGAATAATCATGTTTCAGGGTGCTATATTCACTTTTTTTAGGCCACTGGGGATCCAATTAATGAGTGCATTGAAAGATCAGGATGTTTTGTGTCCTTAAGATCGAACAATGGGATTATTGAGAGAATGCTTCATTTATCATTTGCATAGTTCAGCATCTTGAAGATGGAGTCAATAGTTCTGTAAATGGCACACCAGTGACCTGGAAGAGTCAATGTGCCTAACTTCATTTGCACTCTTTTTTTTTTTTTTAATTTTAATTTTTTATTTCTCATTTGCACTGTTTTTTGCAAAAAGATCTTTTTCCTTCCCATTGAATGCATCTGGGCAATCAAAAAGACAGGAGAAAAGCCTTACCTGTAGTATTCATCTCCCACAAAGAAAAGGGTCTTCTGGGCTTCTTTGAGATAGAGAGCAGCATCTATTTGCTGCATGAACCTTGGGAACCCAATGTCATAAATACTGCGAGGAGGACCTTGTATTTGGAATCCTTTTGTTAGCTAGTACTGGGGACCTGAAAATAGAAATTAAAGTTTACAAACATTATGTAAACCACTTCACTCATGAAGATTTCTGTGCAGATTCACAAATGAGGCAAGGTACAGGGAACATTTGCCATGGCTCTGGTCCAATAGGAGATATAAGCCTCTAACTAATCAATTCAATAAAAGACTCCAGACTTTCCCTGGAGACAAAAAATGCCTTAGAAACAAAATTGAGGCAATTTTGTCTTAAAATGAATATATTTTTTTGAGACTTCATTTATAATCTTCATTTTTCAATCTTTATTTATAATCTCATTTCTGTCTCATTTATCTATGAAAGAAAAAGGGCAAATGATATGAAATGCTATGGTTCTTACTTGAATTAGCACAAGACTTCTACCTTCATCACTCAGCATCAGGAAAATATAACCAAAAATTATAAGTACTCTTTATTGGATAACTTCCATTGGCTAGCCTTTGCCACAGACATCTTCAGGGTTGGTATAACTATAATCACTTCACAAAGGAAGAAATTGAAGTTCAGAGAGGTTAGATAACTTTCCAAAATTATCTAATAATAGAGGTCTCTAGGCCAGAATTCAAAATCATATGTACACCTGCTAAAGTCACAGGTGTCCTAGCTACTTCTGAGCATGGTATAGCATTTTGGATTCATGTTGGCTTTTGTTGATTAGAGATTCTCAATAGTGCCATGTCTTTCCAAGCAAAGCTCCTAGAAGATAGGACCAGGTTTCCAGTTCCTTGGGCAACATCACTTGGCACAATCCCACAAAAGATTAAAAGGCTTAGCTCTCACAACTGTTTGAGTTATTGTCATTCATGCCATTGCTACAATATGTAGGGGTAGCATTTTGAACCCAACCTCAGGAGAAGGAGCAATGGAGACTTGCCCCATGATGACTGAACAAATGCTGTTAGTACTAGATGTTGTCAGCACTGTAAGATACCTTTGAAGAAGTAAGCGGTGCCCCTCTCAGCCACTTCTTAAGCTGCATCCACATTGGACATAAGTTGGGGGAAGGAGCTGGTAATAGTGCTGGGCCTGATTCCTGCCACCAAGTGTACTTGCCGCTGCCAGAAAATCCTAGTGGGTGTTCCAAAAGAGATCAAGGTCAAGGGTTTATTTAGGTCTTATATTGAACCTGGAGTGAACTGTACTACAAGCCACACTTCAAAGGCCATTATTAAATGCCTTTGACATTGTAGGGGTGGGCATATAAGCCTACAATGACTATTTTTTTTTAAACATGTTTGCTTTCTTTAAGTTTTGCTTTGTTTTTTAGAAAGGAGAACACAATTATTTTGTACTTAATAAGCACTTTCTTGTTCTCTTTCATTCTTATAATCTCTGTAAATCTCTTTCTCTCTCTGGTTTTTTTTTTTTTTTTTTATTTATTTCAGGGTGTTTGAGACATGGAAAGAGATTATATTGATGATTTATACACTTCAGCTGTGTCTTCTCCTTTTCCAAATAACGTTTGATAGAAATTTCAGTTTCCTGTTCTAATTTTTTTAGATTAAAATCTCACAAAAATAAATATGACCCAGAAAGTGAACATTATACATATTATATAAATGGATCAAATTCTGTGGTGGGGAGGTGCTAATTACACTCCATAAAATAGAAAAAACATTAGCACTCATAAGTTGTAGTGTTGCCTATATAATTATCTATCAAATGTGTTTGCATCTGTGAGCCTGATGACTAATTAACAGAAAATCTAGTATAGTACTCATATGTTAATTTTAGGCTTAGCAACTCAAAGTGTTCCATCCACTTATACAATATTATTTACATAAAAAATGTGGCAGTATAAAAATGAGCATACTGGGCTGAAACTTCCAATGTGAATATGGTCCATTTTGCGTTTTGGAAATGAAAATCATTCTTATAAAACATGAATAGAACCTAGAATGAATGCATAAGATTATTTGTCAACCAAACCAAAAACCAAACCCCCTGCCATTGAGTCAATTATGACTCATAGAGTCCCTTTAGGACAGAGTAGAACTGTCCCACAAGGTTTCCAAGGCTATAAATCTTTGCAGAAGCAGACTGCCTCATCTTTTTTGTTGAGGAGTGTCTGGTGGGTTCAAACTGACGAACTTTTGGTTAGCAGCCAAATACTTTAATCACTACACTACCAGAGCTCCTTTGTTTGTGAACAGGGAGACCATAATAAAATTTTGACATTTAACTTTCCATGTTGCTGGTTAGGAACACATCGAATCTTTTGTTGAGTTTCCTTGTTCAAGGTAACAAATATTTATGAAACACCTATTGCCAGGCACTGTGGTAGTTATCAACACTGAACAAAACCAAGGTCCTGACTTTAAAGAGCTAGTAGAGACTAATAAGTAATTAGGTTATTATAATTCAGAGTGATCATTGCTATGAAGAATTAAGTTTGGAATTCTCTGTCAGAAGGTCAGCAGTTCAAACCTACCAGCTGCTCCACGGGAGGAAGATGATGCAGTCTGCTTCTGTAAACACTTACACCCTTGGAAACTCAATGGGAGTCACTATGAGTCAGAATTGACTCCATGGCAGTGGGGTTTTTTGGAAACACAGGAGGGGATAGTACAGCATTGCATTTAGGGATTTAGAGAAGGCTTCTCAGAGGAGGTAATTTAAGTTGATTATGAAATCTAAGAGAGAGACATACGGAGAAGAGAGAAATATTTCTGTAGGCATCATGATGCAGAAGGACAAGCCCCTATGTTTCAAAAGCCATAGCTAGAGTTCTGACTCCACTGCTGGATAGTATCCCCAAGCCTCAGTTTCATCATCTCTTAAGTGGGAATAATAATACCTGATTCATTTCATAAAATCATTATGAAGATCAAATAATACATATGAGAGTGCATTGTAAACTGTTAGGGGCCATTGAGATAGATATTATCCATTTAAAAAAATCATTGTTAGGTCCTATAAGTTTATGTGAATGATCAGAATTCCCAGGTGTATAGTAGAGCTGACAAGGAGCAAGGTTGTGGTCACAGCTTGGTCATAGCCAGCTACCCAGAGGGACCGAGTAGTTGAACCGGTGGGCTTGGGACCATAGTCACAGGGGACATCAAGCTCAATTGGCGTAACACACTATACAAAACATTGTCCCACCTCCTACTTTGGTGAGTAGCGACTGGGATCTTAAAAGCTAGCCAGCTGCCATCTAGATGCAATGATGGGTCTCTCCTCATCCAGAGCAAAGAAGAATGAAGAAAACCAAAATTCATGAAAACAGTTAGTCCTAGCAACTGGTACACCATCCAATCTGCAGCCTATATGACTATGAGACCAGAAGAACTAGATGGTGCTCGGTTACTACTGTCATCCACTTGGAAGGTGATCTATGTAGGAGATCCTTGATAGAGAGGGAGAACAATGTAGAACAAAACTCAAAATCATTTGGAGGGGAAAAAAATCGGGGGGGGGGGGACCAGGTTTGCTGGTCTGATAGAGCCTGGTGGAACCACTGAGACTATGATCCCTAACTGCCCTTCAGGTCTGGAATTGAACCCACACCTGTGGTTTCTAGCCAAACAAAAGACAGGCATATGAGTTGAACATTTACCTCAAGTAGATACTCTCCTTGGAGAGAATAGTCATGGGAGAAAGAAGGGCTGCTTGTGCACAGGGAGATAGCTCAGGGGGCAGGAGTGTATAGAGGGATGGACACAGGGAAGAGGTAACTAAGGGGAGGAAGTGGGAGGGAAGCTGTTGCATTGTGGTAAACTGTGTGGTCAATGTCATGAGACAAAGTATATGTGAACTGCTGTATGGAAAGTGAATTTGCTCTGTAAATCTTCACCCAAATCACAATAAAAAAAAAAAAAAAATCATTGTTAACTTGTTGTTGTTGTTGTTATGTGCCTTCGAGTCAGCCCTGACTCATAGCGACCCCTCCTTGGGTTTCCGAGGCAGTATCACTACGGAAGTAGGATTGCCCAACCTTCCTTCCGGGGAGTGGCTGGTGGGTTTGAACCACCAGCCTGCTGGTTAGCAGTCAAGTGCCTTACCCACTACGCTACCAGAGCTCCCATTGTTAACTACATAGGCTTTAACTACCCACTAATCAGATTCCCACTTTAGACAATATATAGGGTGGCAGCAGAGGGACAAGAGTTCAATTAGGGTACATTACCTGACACCCAGGCCCAAAACATCACAGCCTTAACTAGAACATATGTATTGACAGATAAAAAACTGAGACTCAGAAATCTTGATGAGCCCACAGGTCTTCTAGTGGTTAGGAGCAGGCAGAGTCAGAATTAGCCTCTAGCTGTATTGGTTTTCAGAGTCTCTTAAGCAATTTGCTTGGTAAGCAAAAGACTGGTGGTTTGAATCCACCCAGAGCAATCTGCTTCAGAAACATCAGCCATGAAAAACCCTGTGGAGCACACTTTTACTTGGACACACACACACGGGGTCACCATGAGTCAGAATCACCTCAACAGCAACTTTTTTTTTTTTTTAATCTTGGTTTTCATCACATACTCCATCTCATTTACTTGCTCATTGTCAACCTTGGTCTCTCTGATTTTTCTTTGTTTATAATTTGTTCCCCTGTCAACTCCTTGCCCCGTTTTCTGAAGGCAGGAGGCATTGCTTTCTCTTCATTTTTCTCTCTCCACCACAACACAACAAAGACTGGTTAGGGTACCCAGAAGCATTCAACAACTACTTCTTGGATTACTTAGGAACCTGATGAGGAATCTGAAGAGCCAGTGTTTCACAATTAATGCAAGTCAATAAGTAGTTATGAAATGTGTACTCTGTTCAAGTCATCATGCTAGATGTTTGGGCATAGAAATATTTCTAAGACATCAGGTGTGCATTTCAGGGCTTGATGATGGTTGAGGTGAGAAAGGAGAGAGGGGGAGGAGCAGACCTTCCTCTAGTAACTAATTAAACTCTATCTGAATTACCTCTCTGATCTGGTGTAGCTGACTTCCACCTGCTTTCTCCTTGGGTACCCTAAAGCTAGATTTTTTTTTTTTTTCTGTATTTCTTATTTAAAAATTAACAAATGACTTTAGGTAAATTTAAACCCTATCTGTATCTGAAGTTGCATCCAACAATGATGCCCTGAATGACTTGATCTGCCACATAGTAAAGTGTAATAGTTAAGAGTACAAGTTTTAGATTTAGAGTTCTAGATTTGACTCCTTGTTTGCTAACAACATGGTTTTGGCCAGGTCACTATACATCTCTGTTCTGTGGTTTCATTGCTGATATTATTGTAAAGATTAAATAAATCAGTCCAAGTAAAGCACCGAAGATGGTGCATGGCACATAGCACATAGCACATAGTAAACCCTTAATGATGTTGAGCATTATTATTATCTGTTAAAATTGGTTTTAAGGAAATTCAGTATCTTCCTTCTGATTTGAACCCCTAATGTATTTTGGAACTTTTCATACATGGTAAAATCTTAAATTCCCTACTGAATGAACTCCTATTTCTAGGATGTGGTGAGGACTGACTTAAAGTACAGCAGTGGTTCTAAAGTAAGGGCCGTTTTGCTAGGATACATTTGGCAAGATTTAGAGAATTTCTGTTAAACATCCTACAATGCAACCCAACAAAAGAAAGATTTATCCTACTCAACATGTCAATAATGCTGTGGCTGAGAAACCCTAATTTAAGCACTGCAAGGACATATTGTTAGGAAGACAGGCCTGGCAATTTACTTCTGAAAATCAGCTTTATGGATCATAATGTCTAGTCTCATGTGCACAGGGCTGCCTGAGTCAGGGGCCATCTTGACAACAGCTAACAACATCAACATGATACCTTTTATAATGTACACATTATACATGTAAAGTAGAAATAAGCTCTACCTACCACACATGTAAATCATCACAAATTCCAAAGAAATTTGTGATCATGAAATCTTCAGTGTCTAATGAAGATAAAGTATGTATTGTGGGAAATAAAGGAACAGAACATATACTCAGAGGACCATAACCTTAAAAGTATAGATCACAGTAACAAATGGATTAAAACTGACAAAAAGTATAGCCAGTAACCTAATACATTTGTAACTGAATTTCAAATATAACCAAAAAGCTATGAGCCT